ACACTGTTGGCCACCTCACACACTGTAGCGGTTTGAGCCCCCTCCCTTCTCTGCTCGAATCAACAGGTTCGCCTTGGCACGTCCCTCCTTAGTGCTCACGTAGCAGACCTCACTTCATTTAAGCCACCTGTCTCTGACTTCCCAGAGGATCCAAAACTCTGCATTTTCTGAGGTCTGAGACTGGGGTCCAGATATTATCTTTACACCCATCTTCCTCCAGAATGTATCTGGCCCCCCGGCACTGCTAAACAGGACATTACCTGGCCAGACCACTACAAGAAAATTTACAAAAAACAGAAATACAAAATATGGCAGTCTTAATTCAAAACTCAGACTGATCCCCTGCCTAGAGGAACCTCAGACTGACGAACTGTCAGCTACCAACTCTCTTAAACTAGCTCCTTTAAAAACCTAATCTCTGTGCTAAAGCACTATAAATTAATGATTTCATCACTGAGCATAATATTGAGGTTATGTTTCTGACAGAAACATGGTTGAATGACGATAATGAACCAACCGTACTCATTAAATCAGTGCTTCCTAACTACAATTTTTCAAATGAGAATAGGAAACATAAAAAAGGAGGAGGCGTGGCTTCAATATTTAGGAATGCCATAAATTGTAGTAAAATCTCTTTGGGTCATTTCACCTCTTTGAATATCTGGGTATTGAGGTAAAAGGGGGGGCAAAAAAGCTCTTTAATATATTTGAGAATTTTGGTCTAACACAACATGTCTGCCGTAGGGCCAAACAAAAACTTCACGTTTTTTATATCTATAAAGAAAGACTACGTAACTATCACTCAACACTAAAACATGCAAGGGGGGCTTTCTTTGCAGATGTCATAAACAAAAACATTAACAAAGATCGAGCTTTATTTGCAACAGTTGACAGACTCACAAACCCTCCTATGACGTTACCACCTGAATTTCAATCCAATGTAGCCTGCAACAAGTTTTCCAGCTTTTTTCCAGAGAATATTTAAAAAAATCAAAGGATTAATC